GGGGTCAGTAATTGACAAATCAAAGAGCTGAATATGTTCCTGTGCCAGGATGTAAATATGTATTGGAACCATTATTATAAATGCATAAATTGTTATTCATAATGAAATCCTCCAGAATTTTGCCTTTAGCGTTTGTTGTTGCACTACCCCAGAGTGGATTGTGTCCGTTTAAATCACCCCATGATTATACATGGTTTAGGCAATTCATCGTACAGAGCTTGGAGTTCCGCTAGTTGGACAGTTGATGAAGGCGGAGTGTACAAAGAGCACAAAGTAACTGCAACATGTAAAGTGAGTCGTACTGCAACGGCCTGCAGATTTGTTTTAAGTATAACGGGGCTGTGGATTACATCATTCTTAACAAGGATTGACGATCCTCCAGTGGCCCTGTCCCCTGGAGGAGAAAAATAGTGATATGCACTATACTGACGCAAGGCAAAATGATCTGTCTGCTTCAGATATGTCTCTTGTAAGCAGAATGCTGACGGTTTAAAATCTTGGACTAAAAGATGTAAATCATTCAAATTCGTCCTGAGTCCTCTGCAATTCCATTGTACTAGAGGTGAAGAAACTATCTCTTCGGGGGATTAACAGGAGAATGACCCCTCACTTTTCTGGAGGGTGACAAGCTATGCGACCGAAAATGGCTGCTTTCAGACACATCCATGTCCTCGAGTGATCCAAACTTATTAAACAGTTGGACCTGGTTACTGGACCCTTTGGGGGCTCTTCCACTAAGGTTCTTCTTTGTAGGTTCAGCTTTAGATTTGGATTTAGTGTTTGCAAGTTGTTTCACATTTGTGTCAGATTTGGGTAATTGAGTTGATTGTGATAATGATTGCACCTGAGGTAAAGATGAATCCTTATCACAAAACGCCTGAGACTGAATGATTGTTTGACTTGAAGGAATGGTTTGTGAGCAAGAGCTCTGTCGAGGAGGCCTCACTTGAACTGCCGTAGATATCAAAGTAGGTGCAGATGTCTTTGTCCACGTGTAATCAGTCTGGCAAGCAATTGTCTGAAGAGATACATGTTTTGTCTTCGGCTCTGGAAGTCGTACAGAGGCCGTAGTGGCATAACTAGATCCTGGCTGTTCTTGAGCAAGAACAATCTTCCTTGCTTCCAGAAAACTTACATTACGGTCATGCTTTATTCGAGAGATTTTCGACTGAAATTTCCATGTAGGACATTCCTTTGACGAGGACGGATGACTACCTGAGCAGTTGACACAAGAAGGGGATTGGTACATGACTTGCCATCCTCACATGCTCCACCACATCGATGACAAGCGGCTGCATTACGGCATGACTTAGATCCGTGTTCAAACTTCTGACAACTGTAACATCTCAGGGGATTCGGGATGAAAGCATCAACCCGTAAGTTACAGTAGCCAGCTTTAAGTGATTCAGGACGAGCAGGAAGACCAAATGTAAATAGATAAGTGTTTGTCATGATGGTTTCATTGTCTCTCTTCATTGTAAAACGTTTTACGTCAGTGACATTTTGTGATTTTAATTCAGCAACAATTTCAGCTTCGGTCATGTCCGAGAGACAACGTATTGCATCTCGCACAATCCCCTTGCTGCTGTTTAAAGTCCTGTGAGGAGAAACTTGCACAGGGACATTTGCTAAAGATTTAGTTGAAAGGAGAATCTGTGATTGAATGTGTTTCTTGCACTCAATCAAAAGACAGCCTGCACGTAACATTTTAACTTCTTTAACTTCTCCAGCTAAACCTTCAATACCCTTTGCAATGGCAAAAGGATTCAGCTTTAGAGCAGATCCATCAGTGGAAGACATGACTAGAAATCTAGACCAGTGATCAGAGTTGATTGTTTGTATTGAAGGATCATCATCCTCCGAAGAGGGTGAATCTTCTGGTTCATGAGTACGTTTTTTGTAAGGGGGTGCCATGTTAGTGTGAGTTATGTTTCATCCACCTGGGTCCCCACCCACCATGGAGTGTCAACAAGGACGATGCCTTACATCTGTGGATCTCCAACAGATGGCACCAAGGATACCAGGTGGATATACTCAAGCAGAAACATATCTTGAAAAGACATATCCTACTAGATTGGCCCATGAGCCATCGCCTTCTGGGTATTGAGACTCTAGGCAAAATAATTAATTGATTTTGAACATTTTGCAAAATTATAATATGGAAAGTAATTGATGCCAAGACAGTTCCTTGAAGCGAAAATAATAAAGTAGTTCAAGAGATATAAAGTACAATTTCAAATACACAGGGCTTGGCATGACCAGCCGATTGATTGAACCGGGCCCATTCAACCACCCGTCTAGGTGAAGTCAGGGGCAAAGTGGTGTATTGGGCAAAGGAACACTGTTCCTGGAACCAGTGCCCTCAACCACCAGCCTCCCGTCCTCCACCGACACAGGGGCGCAACCCACGGCAAACGGGTTGGTGGACCTAATATCCCCCGGGTCCCACAACAGGGGGTTGAAGGGCGCTTAGCGTGACCCAGCACCCACCACGAGGAGGTGGCCCTGTTATCGGAAATGAAATCCTCGAGTATTTTACCTTTAGTATTAATGTGGGCACTTCCCCAAAGCGGGTTGTGTCCGTTAAGATCGCCCATAATGAGACATGGCTTCGGAAGTTGATCATATAAATTTTGAAGATCTGACAGTCGAATGTCAGAAGAAGTATACAAGCTGCACAGAGTCAAAGCAATGTGCAAGGTCAGCCGAACAGCTACAGTTTTAAGATTGGTATTCAGAGATACAGGGCTATGAATAATACCCTGGCGCACCAAAATGGTAGCACCCCCAGTTGCTTTATCTCCTGGAGGAGAAAAGGAGTGATAATCAGTATACTGTCTCAGATTAAAGTTATCGGTATTTTTTAGATAAGTCTCTTGAAGACATAATGCTGATGGTTTACAATCTTGTATCAACAAGTGAATCTCATTGAAGTCTTTTTTTCAATCCTCTGCAATTCCACTCCATTAAAGTCGACAACTGAGTCATGGTGGCTCAATTGGCGATCGTTCCCGTGAATGTGAGGAGGAACTGTTCCTCTGTCTGTCTTGTGTAGACAGAGTAACCTCCATATCTAGAGGCCCAAAAGAGTTTTCTAGAGGAACCGCTGAAGATGAAGGGATGGTAGGGGTTTTTTTGTTTAGTTTCCTTTCTTTCTTTTTCTTTGTATTTGCACTTGATGGTTGAGACGAAGACGTTTGAGATGAATTGCCAGGCAGACGGTCTGTTTGGCTTCCCGACGTAGATGTAGTGACCGGGGTTTGGAGTGACTGCAGCCGTAGTTAGAGTAGCTGACACGATAGGTTTTTCTGACAGGAAATAGAGGCCGTTGCTACAGAGCGTGTAACTGCAGCAGAATATGTGACAGTGGATGGAGTTGATGTTTGGCTTGATAACATTTTTTTTGCCTCAAAGTACGAAATATTGTTTTCACACTTAAATCTCATGATTTTGGACTCTTTTTGCCACACAGGGCATGCCCTGGATGAAGCAGGGTGCTGACCCTCACAGTTTGCGCACTTGTGATCTTTCTGACAATCTGTTTCCTCATGGTGGTCTGAACAACGGGGACACACCAGAAAGTTACGACAAGACTGTGATCCGTGGCCAAACTTCTGACATTTATAACACCGGAGTGGATTGGGGACATACACCTCCACTCCGATGTTGAAATATCCTGCTTTAATTGATGTTGGAATATGAGACCGAGCAAACGTCAAAAGATACGTATTGGTGTTAATGATAACACCATCTCTCTTGACTGTAAAACGTTTTACTGCCGTCACTGCTTGTTCTTTTAGTTCTGTGGCAATGTCCTCTTCACTCATGTCAGCAAGACATCTGGCTCTGTCACGAACGATGCCGCGACAGGAATTTAACGTTCTGTGCACAGACACAGCAACCTCAATGTTGGCAAATGTTTTGATGGATAACAAATTGACAGATTGCTGTCTCCGTGCACTCTCCACAAGAAGTGAACCACTACGAAGACGGGTGACATTCTTTACTTCACCACAAATACCAGATACAGCCTTTGAAATGGCAAACGGATTTAATTTGATTGGCAGGAAATCTGCAGCCTCAATGACTAAAAATCGTGGCCAAGAATCACTGTCAGAAGAATTTGTTACAGATGTGGGATCTAAATCTTCAAAACGTCTTTTCTTTTCACTACGAGATGAACCTGCATGTGGTAGTGCCATGGTGAAAGGAAATGATTCGACACCCCTGCTCCCGACCCACCATGGAGTGTCAACAAGGACGGTGTCAATATGCATCGGATATCCAAGATGCTGACACCAGGGATACAGGGGTGTTATACTCCAGAGAATATGACATGAATAGCTGTATTTATCTACCAATTTAATGCCCTTGACAAGAAATTGGAGACATACATTACCCAGGGGTCAACATCACCAGATTGGCCCATGAGCCACCGCCTTCTGGCATAGGACTCTAGGCAATTTAAAGTTATTAATAATTTAAACATTGAAAATCAAAATTTCCAAGACCCAATCATAATTTATTGTGCAAATATAACCACCATGCACAGGGCTTGACGTGACCAGCCGATTGATAGAACCGGGCCAGTTCTACCACCCGTCTAGGTGCCAAAGTGGTGTGTTGGGCAACAGGAACACGGTTCCAGGATCCTATTGCCCTCAACCACCAGAATCCCGTCCTCCACCGACACAGGGGCGCAACCCACGGCAAACGGGTTGGTGGACCAAATATACCCCCGGGTCCACAACGGGGGGTCGAAGAGCGCTTAGCGTTACCCAGCACCCACCACGAGGAGGTGGCTCTTCACGGGTGCCCTTGTGTTGGTAATTGAAGGCATTAGCGGCAGTAACGTTCTTCCTTTGCCCAACACACAGTTTTGACACCAACTTCACCTTCATTCGCCTGGTCGCTCAATGCCGTGAAACTATTTCTACATGGTTGTAATAAACGTGAAATAAATTTTCAACGACATTAACTTTAGTGAGACATATACCTACCATTAATGAACAAGTGTCTGACGATTTCGTCAAATAACCTGACAGGCGTCATCTGAGCCAGGACTGCTCCATCACTGAGGCATGCGTCTGAGGCAGCGGTGTAATTACTGTATACACTGGACATTTTCAGACAAGTCCAGCCGATGAAGGTGTACCCAGGAGGACAAGTCCCTGTAGGTTAGAAATATTTCAACATCCAAATGAATTCCTTGTGTGATTTCAATAATATCACGAGCATGATCGTATTGTGGCCTATCGGTGACACACCAATATATCACACACTCCATAAGACAAGTTAATTAGACCTCACTGGTATGGTCGATTTACGATAAGTATTTACGGGTGAATATACAAAGAGTATTGGTGAGTGAGTTTAAATTTACTAAAACAGGTAATACGTTACCAATAGTTAATATTGGAGTATACAATCTGTCGACAAAGGACAGTGAAACAACTAGAAATATTAAAACTAGCATTTGGCTTAAACATTATTTGACTATTCGGGACAATACAATATAAAAACAGGCTATAGATCCAAGAGTATTTCGTCTCTGGATAAGCGGGCAAGATACCAAAACAGCTGTGGTAATATACCGTCGTTCCCAGAGAATAATCCGCCTTAATTATCTGCCGAAATACATTCCATTTGGAGTGAATGGGAAACTAGTGAAACGCTATTTAAAAGAACTTACGTACTCACCCTCCTTCGTGTATGATTGCAATCCCCCTTCATTGAGAGGCTCATCTTGGGGTAGGACAGTGTATGACATCATATGACAGAGTTTACTTGCCTCACTGTACGAAAGGGAATGACACTCAGACTCTGACGCACATATTTGAGCACACTCAATGCGGCTCGAAGAGGATAATGTTTTGTACGAGGCTGTTGCGTTAAGTCTGACTGAGCCCTGTTGAAACTTTGAGACTTTACAGTTCACCAAATAAACAGAACCCGACTGGGCAATTAACATGCATGCTATGAGAGTAAAGTTTGTCAGCTCCATCTGTGCCGTATGTTCATCCATTCGATATAGCTTTACAACTGACCGATGATTGCCCAGATGGCCGTCTTATTTCATCAACTTTAGATAATGTCTGATGGCGTGGCTGCGAACAACAAAAGTATGAATTGATTGGACTTCATGCCCTTAAAGTACCAAGTGCTAAAACATAACGGGCACTTTTACATGTGAGCAACTGACATATTATCAATAAACTGTCATAGTAGAGTTAATGTTCCATAGTCTAAGTCACTGCACAATGTTAGAATGCTGACAATGCTACAAAATACATAGTTGGAAAGTCAAAAAAATATGGACACCAGGAGCGTGCTTCCATTAAAAAATCGTTTTCCCTCTACTTCGCATTGTTACCTACCTTTTGTGGATCTGTGATACTTGAATCGATGTAATTACTAGTTACTGACTTTCGTCTTTACAGGCCAATTATCAGTAAATTCAGTAAGTTTCCAGATAGTGGATGATGAATCAGGTGTATGCAAATATAACATTTTTTGTTCCTGATGTGGCATGTTTGTGAAGGTTTTACAGCAATGTAAGCTATTTCTGTGTTGTAAATATGTTTTAATTAGACAATTTGCGGGGAACAGTGTCGTGTACTTTTCATTACTACTCTAAATGACCAAATGTTTATTACTGACATGTTCAGAAAAAACGATCTGATGTAAAGTGAGTGAGCGAGTTAAAATTTAACGTCACCTCGGCAATATTTCAGCCATAAAGTGACGAGACATGTTTTACATAAACAATAAATTTATGTTGCTAAATAATCAGTCATCGAAGGACTGTAAAATAACTAGAGTATCATAGATGGAGTCTAAAACTAGCATGAACATGTATAACTATTTTATTTACGAAGACAATACAATATAAAAACGGGCTATAGATCGCAAACAACTGAAGGTAGATCACCATACTAGGGACCATGGGGACTTACAGTACATTTGCTTCCTGCATGGACCCTAGCTGGATTTACACCATCCCTTCAGCTGTCAGCAAGTTTAGACATTTTAGCCATAAGTTTTAATAACACATATTCTACGGTTAAAAATAATGGTATGTTTAAATTTACTTTGAAAGTTTTGGGACTTACATAACCCCACAGGAGGACAATAATTTTAAAATGCTTCAACCCCCTGTGAGGATACAGCCACTAACAATCTCATCTGCTCAGTTAAACTACCAATTTTAAATATTTATCTATTTACAATTCATTCAACAAATCTAATTCTTTTAAAAATGCAATAACTAAATGAGGACTAATATTATCAAAAAGATCCTTCATCGTTCTTAACTGGAAATAGTTATCCCTTGTGATGGAATATTCAATACAGTCCAGTAGGACATGCTTGACCGTGATTCTTTCATCACTTGGGATGCAAAACGGAGGATCCTCACCTTTTAACAGGTATTCATGAGTATATCTTGTATGGCCAATACGACATCGTCGTATAATGACCTCTTCAAATCTGGACTGACAACCCAAGTAGGTGTAACCGATAGTTGATTTTATTCCATGTAATTTATTGATGCCTACTTGGGTGTCCCACTTCTTTTGAATCAGATCACGGATGTAAGTTCTAATGCTAGCTTTGTAATCAGAGTATGGAATAAGAAGTGGTGTCACAGATTTGTTCAGTGCTGCCTTGGCAGCAAAATCAGCCATTGTGTTTCCGGAAATGCCAACGTGGCTGAGTAACCAACAGAAGACGATGTCGATTTGGCCAGTAACAAGATCATTATTTAATTCAATAATTTCGATTAAAAGTGGATGTTTGGAAGAAGGATGTTTGATAGCCTGAAGGCAAGAAAGGGAATCGGAAAAGATGTGTCTTGTTCTACCACCCGTCAAGGTAAAGTAAGGGGCGAAGTGGTGTGTTGGGCAAAGGAACGCTGTTTCTGGAACCAGTGCCCTCAACCACCAGACTCCCGTCCTCCACCGACACAGGGGCGCAACCCACGGCAAACAGGGTGAAGTGACTGTAAACACCACATCTTTTGAAGGACGTGTCACGATGCCTAGTGTCAAGTCATACAGATTTCGATGTTATCCTGTCAACTGTTGAACAGTGATGAAGGAAAATACCACAAATCATGATATTATATTTTTGCATGAAAATATGGCATAACATCAAATAATGCACAGTTACTTTATTCTGCTAGTATATATCTTGGTCCATACCCAGATGGGTAGCAGAATGTGCCTGGGTTTTATCAATTAGTTCATGATACGATCAGTGCATGAAATAGCGTGCACAATTTTCATTTTTCTCATGCAGTCACTCAGTGGAGAAAGGGTGCAGAATAGCTCATTTCTTCACAGAGAGAGAGGCTAGATCAATGTTATGTCAGCCAGCACTTTAAAGTATAACACCTGTAAAATCCTGCACGTCTGTGATGGATACCCGTCTCCAGTCATTAAAACTGACGATGACCTTATAAGTCTATTAGATACCATAACGCTGCTAAAATGATCTGTTTCGATCTGTAAATATAGTCTTGAGAATCTTTAGATTCTGTGAAGAGCAAAATAACTATGAAATTTCATGACTGGAATACTGACAATAAGTGATGACACCAGGTGTTTGTGAAGGGGTATGTATATCCTTCCCTACAGGGGGCACCGCCATTCTAACACTTTGCCTAAACAAGTAAATAATTACAGCCTGACAATCAAGTGATCGATAACCATGAAAATCGACCCTGATGTATCGACCCTCACTCTTATATATTACGGATGATTTTGGTTTGAATTGAGGCGGCTGTACCGACCCCAAACGAGGCACAGTGGTCTGGTGTACGAGGGAAAAAACATGCAACTTCAGACTGACATTCAAGACAGCGTATGGCGATGTCACGATTAGCAACAATCAGTTGAGCAGTGCGTAACAAAGCAATTAGCGGTGTATAGCCACATTTTGAGATGAATCGACAATGGCGCAAAGCGCACAATTTCAAACAGCCACAAAGTTTACTAATGTTTTTTTAACATTATGTGTAGGCGACTCCCTTTTGGCCCATTTGGCAGTTATGCCCCTTGTCTCGGCACTTCCCCACTTCAAATACGTTGAAAAACGGATGACAAAATGTTGACAGAGGTTTGACCTTTTATATTCATTGTCACTGCACATACTTGTCATAACTGTGATGCGCATTCCGCTTTTAATTTCCTTTCCAAGACATGTTCGTGCAAAACATCGCTGTACACATTTCAAAAACGAAATGCAGAGAAGAAAAAGAGAATGTTGAGTCTGTGTAGTCATGAAATATTTAATACAAATGCTGTAATGTACTTACCATAAACGTTAACAGGAGCAGATATTGAGAAGTCATCAGAAGCTGAAACCAACCTCTGGTAGAAAACGCACTTCCCTGACATCGGTTTATAGGATACAGATAAACAGTCGTTGTCTTCAGAGCAAATACCAGCGCAGTCACCTACACTGGACGAAGGACGGACAGCATTCGAATCGTGTATAAGCCATCCATCAAGATCCTGACGTTGAAAGAGAAGCGTACGTCTTGTGATTGGTGCTGTCTGGAAGGACCTGCTGATGACAACGAAGAATACCACAGTGTATGGGATATGCCAGGACATGACAGAGTTCGTGGGAACTACCTCTCCAACATCTGCGACTTGAGTCTAATTTTGAGTTTATGAAACTAAAAGGGAAAAGCCCTTCTCATACGAAATTAACCTGTGACATTTTGGCCAAGCATATCAACTCGCTATGCAGAGCTGTTCCTAGCCATGACAAGATACGCTCGTTAAGTTGGCGAATCCAACATTTACGCTGACCTCGTGACCCCTAATATCTTGGTACATTAATGTCAATATAGCTGTGTTCACGTTACTTCAATACATTGTCTTCATTAACGCTGTTATGGATATATTTACAGATAAACTGTCTGTATATGGTAACGAAAGTCAGAATTACAACAAGAGAGATTTCCAGGCTTTTCACCTTTAAGAAAGAGGAGAACAGCTAACACTCTCAGTCTCCAAAGAAATATACTCCAACAGAGGTCAGACCTGTTCATGTCTGTTAACCAGACGGTCGGTCAAAGATTAACTGTTAGCATGAACTATCAGAACACTGAAGGAAAGCCGTATCAGCATGTAAATTTGGTCCTTTAAATCAAATACAGATCAGCTGTGGCGCAACATACAACATGGTATGCCAGATGTGATGTGATGCAATTTACAATATGATATGTAGGATATGATGCAATATACAACATGATATGTCAGACGTAGCACTATAAATAATCTGATATGTCGTATATGATGCGATATACAGTACAACCAGAATTATTGAGAATTTAAGATTGTAATTTATTATTTTTTTCACTCATTACTCACGTATTAAATGTGAATATTAGCAGAACATAACTCCAGATTCAAAGACAGGTGAACAGTTAGTATTTTGTCAAGTCACCATGGGCAGCAATGCAGGCTTCGATGGGGCGGGGCATACTACTGATCAAAGAAGTTAGAAAGTCGTGGTCCATGCTGCCCCAATATCGGACCACCTCTTCTTTCATTTCAGCAATATTTGTCAGATTTTTCTTATTGACACTTTCCTTAATAAGTCCCCAAACATTTTCTGTTGGATTTAGGTCAGGGCTATAGCTTGGCAAATCTACTAATGTCATATTTTGGGTCCGAAACCAGGCCTGTGAATGCTTTGAACGATGTTTTGGGTCGTTGTCCTGCTGGAAAATCCAAAACTTTCCATAGAACACGTGAGCAGATGGAAGTAAATGTCCCTCGAGAATATCTGTGGACCGCTTACTGTTCATATTTCCTTCAAATACACAGAGGGGAG